CAGCGATGACGTTCGATGCACTGATGATATCACCTAGTTTGGGTCATGAAACTGCGAGTAAGACCACCAAGGACCCCACAGTCCTCCTGCTCCTCTTCCTCCTTTCCGCAGCCCCTCCTCCCTTCTAGAACTGATGAGGTTACCTAGCTGGGCCATGAAACGTCTGCAAAGCAACCATCCCAGCTCGGAGAGCCGGGGACGGACAGGAATCGGGCGCTTCCTGCTGGCCGGAAAAACGGGAGGAGATCCAGCCAGGGGGCGGGGTAGGGGGCAGAGGTTCTCCCCCCGAGAAAGCCCCACTCCAGAGATGGTGGGATTTCAGACAGACAAAGTGGGGGGTGGAGGGGGGGCACTTTGGGTTTGGAAGCCGTCCTCACAGGTCCAGCGAGTCAGCCATGGAAGGGACTCTCGGTGCACAGGCTTCGTCGCGGTGGCTAAGGAGGGGCAATTCCTTTGGACCGGCTGCTCCGGTGAGTCGTTTTGCCAGACCCCCCTCTCATAAGGCTGCCTTCCCAAGCGCCAAGCAGCACCAAAGCGAGGCCACAGCCTGCCCGCCTCCCCCCCCTCCTCAAACCAAACCCTGGATGCAGAAAACCGGAACAGCCGAAGCACAACCACCGCTATTTAAGAAGAGGCACAAGGGCAGGAAGACGAAGAGAGACCCCAACCACCCAGAGGAGGGGAGGGGGGGGAGAGGGTTTAGGATAACTCGCCCCAGCCAACTCGTCACGGCCACTTTAGAATCAGAATACAGCTGGAAGGGACCTTGGAGGACTTCTAGTCCAGCCCCCTCCCCCCCGCAAGTTGCCGTGGGACAATTCAGGGCTGCGTTAATCGTTTCATTCGGTTAGTTTTCACGATTGATGACCAGGTTTGAGTCGAAATTATTGTTAACTCCTGTTATTTCTGGATTAGACTTTGTTTTATTATTATCGGCCATTGTTCCGTCGAAAGGAATTTGACTTTTGCATTTGCTGAATTATCCCGTGGCGAGTTGGCCATGGTGTGTAGTCCCATTCCGAGGGGGAGAACAGCCAACCCTGGCTAACGGGGCATCCAGAGCCGGCCCCTCTGGGCACAGACACCCTGCCCTTGGCAAGAGGGCACATCCCTTGTATCTAGAGGAGGCTCGCCAAGCGAGTCCTGAGTGCGAGAATCTGATTTTGTGTCCGGAGTCTTGTGGGACGAGACCATCTCCAAAGTCTCGAACCTGAGCCAAAATCCCTTAAACGGGGCACTGAAGCTTATCTGCAACTGAGCACACACAACCCCCCTCCAAGGTGCTTCTGAGACCCCAGCAGCCTTTTGGACACCCTGGGTGGCTAAGGTGCTATCTCCAAGGATGGCCCCACAGAGGATTGACGCAGTCAATCCGAGAGTTCGACAGCCCAGCTCCGCCAAGCAAGATCCTTTTTCCCCCCTCTTGGCACCAGGCAAGCAGGGCAGCTCAGGTCCAAAGTCATTGTGGATCTGAAGGATCTGTATTGACAAAAGTCAAGATGGCAGCTGGACCTAAACCCTGGGGCCAAGCTTGGAGGTTTCATTTGTGATGGGTTTTTTTTTTTGGGCGCATCCTGCGGACGTCTGCACCCCAACCGGCTGAGCAGGCCCCTCCCGTTCCCTCACACACCTATAGTGCAAACAACAGTGCTCAGGAGATGCGCAGACAGAGCGTGCTAGTCTCTGCAAAAAGTGAGGGAAACAGGCAGGTTGCGAAGCCAGTGCAAGCGGTTGCTTCCGCCGAGGATGCAGAACTCGAACTCGAGGCTGACTGCGCTGGAACCGAACTCACCTCCCCGGCCCAGTATCCTGCTTCGCTCGCTCCACTCACCTGACGATGCTGCAGTCTGTGGGGTAGGGAGGAGGTGGGGTGCAGTGGGAGGTGGACGGCATGGAGAGGGGAGGGCCCAGCGTCTGGGTGGGGCTGAGCCCGTTCATGTCGCCCGCCATCGTCATGTGGGCTCCCATCATCGGAACTGGACGGAAGGAGAGAAACCGCACGTTCAAAGACAAGCTGGGGAATGCTGGGAACTGAAGTTCACTCCATGCACCTTAAAGCAATGCTGGCCTAGAGGATTCTGGGAGTTGGAGACCACCCAACTTAAAGCATGTAGTCTGGAAAGATCCAAGTGGCCAAGTCTGAGAAACACTGCAGGTCTACAGTAACGTCACAGAATTCTGTGTCTGATTTTGGAATTATGGCCGTAAATTATTGCAGTCATAACTTAAAGCACCATGTGACTGGAGCGCATTTTTTTTTTGCAGAGGTCATTCAATGAATGACACCAAGCCCATTTTCCCCAATGGGCATATTTTGCTGAAAGATGGCCCAAGCACTGCAAATCATGGTCATGTTTGCAAATGGCCGTAAAAAGTACCCAAATACAATTTCTCTCTCTCTTTCTCTCCCTCACCCTCCCTCTGTGTGTGTGCGCGCATGCATGCCATAACTTCAAAACCCACCCATTTAATTTTGGAATAAAATTAAAAACCAGATGTAAAGGCTAGCAAAGATGTCTAAAAATATGTCCGTCAAATGGTGGAAATGTAATCGGACTCCAGGCATTTATTATCCTATGGGGTGGACATGTGTGAAGGCAAAAAAAAAATTTGGGGATGAAAATACGTATGTGGTTAGAAAAGATAATTAAGCAATCTAAAAGCCAGAAATATTCTGGTTAGGCATACTACCAGAAAGCCACAATAAAAGGGACTACATATTCAATACTTTATGTGCTGACATTTTTGTTGTTCTAGTTATGCTATTTTTGTTGTTATAGTTATGCTACTACTGCTATTACTGTTATTTGTCAGGATTCTGGCAGTTACTCCAATTAAATCTATTTATTATTATTATTATTATTATTATTATTATTATTATTATTATTATTATTATTATTTCATTATCATCATCATCATCACATTTGTTATTTCTCTGTTAAATGAAATGCACCCAGACAACTGTTTTCGAAGTATCTATGTATCATTAAAATATAAAATACAAATACTATGTCCAGGCTCCCACAAATCCACCCCCATTCAAATCACAAGTCTCTGGCCGCATCTCTCAGAGTAAAAAAGATTGATTTATTAGGAGTGACCATGTCGGTGTACAGCCGACACTAAGACACATCATTCATTTCCCCCTTGACCCTGGTCTTTCCCCCATGCGCTGGATGTATATTCTCCAATGGGACACATCCATAGCCAAGAGTCATCAAGCATGCTCTCCGGTAATCATCTTGTGTGCCAACATCTCCGGCTGTCTAGCAATTATCTGGAGCATTTAAGGAATGCACTGCTTTCCCCCCCACTCCCTTTCTGCTGGCAACTAAAAAGACCAAAGGAGTATTTTTTTTAGTTGACATACTACTACTGCTACTACTACTACTACTATTACTACTACTACTAAAAAGCCCAGTGCAAAGATAGGACTTACTGTTGGCTCCCATGCTGTCAGGCATGCTGGTGGGGGTCAGGGTGTTGCGTTGCTGGGGGTTGATGAGTTGACTGACGGAGGGCAGCTTGTTCATGCCGCTGATTTTCCCAAGCGGAGGAGAGCTGGAGCCGTAGGAAGGCTGAGCCTGGAGAGAGTTTCTGGGAAAGAGAAGAAGAGGAAGTTAAAGGGATGCCGGAAAGGAAAGCCCGGGCGAATTGGCGTCGATGGGGACCCAGCTGCAGAACCAGGGATGGAAGGAGAGTGGGATGTCACACACCCCTGTGGAGGTTTAATCCAGGCTCCATCCAGAAAGCACCACTGCGCCAGGGAACACGGGACCAGCACGCCACCTGGCACTGATGATGTTACTTAATCGGGTCATGAAACGTCTGACTGCAAAGATTCAATCTTGCTCCGAAGTCTATATAGAAACAGGAAGCAACCACCAGTAGCACTGAGGATATTACCTAGCTGGGTCATGAAACGTCTGGAAGCAAATCATCCAGTTCAGAGAGCACCAAGGACCCCACAGTCCTCCTCCTTCCCCCCTTCTAGCACTGATGATGTTAGCTAGTCGGGTCATGAAACGTCTGCAAGGAAGCCACCAAACACCAAGAGCACCTCATGTCAACCCTGATCTACAAATATTTTATTAATTTATCCAAAGGTCCAACCCAAACTTGGTAACATCATCCGTGCTAAATGTCTATGGAGCTTCTCAGCCATCCAGGTGTCTTGGTTGTCCCAAAAGTGTTTTTTTTTCTCTTCAAGATGCAAACTGGACTTTCTTTGGGTTTTTTTCTTCGAAGACGTTTCGCTTCTCTGAAGAGCTGAAGAAGCTTCTTGGATGAGAAGCCAAACATCTTTGAAGAAAAAACAAAGAAAGTCCAGTTTGCCGCTTGAAAAAAAAGCACCATTGGGATTATCATTGCTAGTTAGTGTTAACTAATGATGTTATAAAGATATACGAAAAAAACTCCGATCCAATTTCAAACCAAAGAGATTTTCTCACGGCGGAAGAACTAACTAATAGAGTGCATTTCAAAAGTTTCCCCAAAGTTTAAGTCTGCATATCCTTACAATATCTGACGACAAGGGGAAGTACAAATTCTTTTTTCCTACGAAGATTGAGGAAGATTGGATGGATGGATTACAATGAATAGGAAACCACTGGTACTTGTGCCTTTGATGGGAGAAAAAGACTAATTCTGGAGAACGAATCTATTATATTTAATTAGACTAACCCTGGAGAAGAGATGGCATTAAGAAACGAACGTGGACATTTGATCCAGGACGAACCGCATTTAAATTCTGGGATGATTTGGGATAGAGAAGATGCCGCGATAAACTTTCAAGAGTGGATTACAATAACAGAGAATTTTGAAACTTTTAATTTTCTTTTGTTTTACAGTTCTTCCTGTTAACTACCTTGTCACCACTATAACGTGTAGAAGAAAGGTCCATAATTTGCAAATAGATTTATTAGTTTAAAATTTTTAGAGGGGCCTGTTTCGCAAGGGGTGGGAACCAGCGTGTCGACTTGTAAAGCATTCCTCCTATGCCTGTTTTGGAGTTGCCATAAACAAGGGTGGAGAGGAAATCGGGAGGAGCAGTCGCCAGCTTAAAAGCAGGAGTATATTCCACACTTATCTTACAAAGATTGTAGCTAAGCTACCGGACCTTCTGCCCTCGAAAATCCTTCACTGGAGAACGTGATTGTGACACACCTGGAGGGAGGGGGGAAAACAGGGTCACAGGGGATATGCCAGAGTTGGCTTCGTTTAGGTTCATGCCGGCATGTTGCTCCTAATAAATCTTTTGAATTCTTTTGAAGTTGGGCTCGAGGCTCCTGTTTTAATTGGGGCAATCGCTGGAACCCTGACACAATGTTGTAATAATATATTCATAAGTATTCAATCAGGGGGGATAATATATGTGTTGGGGTTTTTCGTGATGCACCTTTTTCAATAAAGGAAAATATTTGTAGCTCAGGATTGGCACGGGTGCTCTCTGAGCTGGCTGGTTTTCTTGCAGACATTTCATTACCCAACTAGGTAACATCATCAGTGCCATTAAGGAGTGCAGAGTTTGCTCTCAGTTTCTAATCTGGTGGCTTGCCCTGTCACTCTTGGTGGGGGTGGTCTTTGGGTGGGGCTGTTGGCCCTTTGGCAGTTCCTGGATTGGGGTGTTGTTGACTTGGATTGTTGGTCTGATCTTAACCTTGGAATGAATCTTTGCTGATCCGGGTGCTAACTGCTGTTGGAGAGGTGCTTGGGTTTTTCCCCTCTCTTTTGGGCTGGTTGGTCGCCTCTTTTGCATCGTCTATAGATGTGGTTCACGTCTATGGGTCTATCCATGGCCGATCTGTCCGAGTGCTAAACTTCTCAAAATTGCCCTAGAGTTTTTGGACTTGGCCTGGTCTAGCATGGTCACCTTTTCCCAACAGAAACTATGGTTAAACCTGTCCCTAGGTTAAAGAATTTTCATCATGTCTTCTGACTGCTTTTTTATAATGTTTTAATTGCTTTGGGTTTTTTTTTCTTTTGTCCTTTTGGATATTTTTGGAGTCTTTTATTTTGTATTTTAAATTTATCTTGAATAAAATGACATGCATACATTCACACATAGATAGATAGGTATAGATACAGATACATACCGCGTTTCCCCCAAAATAAGACCCTGTCTTATATATATATATTTTTGCCACCCAAAAAGGCACTGGGTCTTATTTTGGGGGGGATGTCAGCCACTGACTAACCTCACTTGCACATGTTTCCCCCGGCCTCCTTTTTGCTGTTGGAGGCCTGTCAGGGACTTCTTCTCCTGTGTCCAGCAAGGCTTTTCTGAGGGCCTCTGCATCCCATAACGGAGTTCTGGATCGATCCAGAACTTCGTTACCAGCTCCAGAGGCCTTCAGGAAAGCCTTGCCAGCTGCAGAAGAAATGGGCCGGCCAGGCAGGTGTCGGGGGGTGCGAGGCCTGGCTACACCTGTCCAAAGGTAAGTAGTAGGGCAGCGCCACCCTCACACCCTGGCTTAATTTCTACCCGTCCACTCTGGAGTGGGCGGGAGCTTAATTAGGGCTTATTTTGTGGGTGCATGTGTAAAAATAAAG